GAGAGTTCATGGGTTCAAACCCCGCCGGCCGAAGACTCCCCGTGTAGTAAAATGGTGACTGATGCACGTTAAATCTGTTGAGTCGCAAAGTCCTCCATGTTCCCATGACAGATCAATAACCTTTGGGGTACTAAATTGGAGAATGATCGTTCTCTGATTCAGGTCAAAATTACTATCTGTAGATGAATGAATGGATGTATGAATGCGTCCGCCCTATAAACGGGCATGACGTAATGGGTGTGGCAGAAGTCGATTTCTTGACCATAGATGGCGCCACTGGAAAACAAGAACAATCGCACCCCTCTGCCTTAACTGGCATACGAAACCAAGCAAGCAATTCAGGTATCAGTAGGGCAAATTTGTTGGCAACTCTTTCAGGGGAACTATATGACGGTCATCGTAGTTCCCAAAGTAAGTACAGACAGTACAGAGCATGAAAGAGCATCCATACCTTGTCCGGGATTCACACCCAGGATCTTTTAAAAATAAATAAAAGCAGACCATCTTAAAAAAAACCTTTTTTCTAGGCTCCTTTAAAAGGCTTTAACAACCAACAAATTTTGGACGAAACATTTTTCAAAAATAAAAATTGAATACATTTATTTTGAGAAATTCCTTCTAATACATTTTCCTAAGAGAAAGACTGATTTTATCCCCTTCTTTTCCCGTTCAATTACGGTCTGTTTTATTTAGTTTTCATTCTGCTATGTAAATGCAAATATTAATTATTTTTTAAATTAATTAATTTATGTGTTATCTTGAAAAAGCCTTTCTTTTAGGCTCCTTTAAAAGGCTTTAACAACCAAGTGCAACAAATTTCAAATGAAATATTTTTTTTATAGAAATCGAAAACATTTATTTTGAGAAATTTCTTCTAGTACATTTTCCTAAGAGAAAGACTGATTTCATCCCCTTCTTTTCCTGTTCAATGACCGTCGGTTTTATTTAGTTTTCATTCTACTAGAAAGGAGTTTATCCTCGAAGTAAATACAAATATTAATTATTTTTTAAATTAATTAATTTTATGTGTTATCTTGAAAAAGCCTTTCTTTTAGGCTCCTTTAAAAGGCTTTAACAACCAAGTGCAACAAATTTCAAATGAAATATTTTTTTTATAGAAATCGAAAACATTTATTTTGAGAAATTTCTTCTAGTACATTTTCCTAAGAGAAAGACTGATTTCATCCCCTTCTTTTCCTGTTCAATGACCGTCGGTTTTATTTAGTTTTCATTCTACTAGAAAGGAGTTTATCCTCGAAGTAAATACAAATATTAATTATTTTTTAAATTAATTAATTTTATGTGTTATCTTGAAAAAGCCTTTCTTTTAGGCTCCTTTAAAAGGCTTTAACAACCAAGTGCAACAAATTTCAAATGAAATATTTTTTTTATAGAAATCGAAAACATTTATTTTGAGAAATTTCTTCTAGTACATTTTCCTAAGAGAAAGACTGATTTCATCCCCTTCTTTTCCTGTTCAATGACCGTCGGTTTTATTTAGTTTTCATTCTACTAGAAAGGAGTTTATCCTCGAAGTAAATACAAATATTAATTATTTTTTAAATTAATTAATTTTATGTGTTATCTTGAAAAAGCCTTTCTTTTAGGCTCCTTTAAAAGGCTTTAACAACCAAGTGCAACAAATTTCAAATGAAATATTTTTTTTATAGAAATCGAAAACATTTATTTTGAGAAATTTCTTCTAGTACATTTTCCTAAGAGAAAGACTGATTTCATCCCCTTCTTTTCCTGTTCAATGACCGTCGGTTTTATTTAGTTTTCATTCTACTAGAAAGGAGTTTATCCTCGAAGTAAATACAAATATTAATTATTTTTTAAATTAATTAATTTTATGTGTTATCTTGAAAAAGCCTTTCTTTTAGGCTCCTTTAAAAGGCTTTAACAACCAAGTGCAACAAATTTCAAATGAAATATTTTTTTTATAGAAATCGAAAACATTTATTTTGAGAAATTTCTTCTAGTACATTTTCCTAAGAGAAAGACTGATTTCATCCCCTTCTTTTCCTGTTCAATGACCGTCGGTTTTATTTAGTTTTCATTCTACTAGAAAGGAGTTTATCCTCGAAGTAAATACAAATATTAATTATTTTTTAAATTAATTAATTTTATGTGTTATCTTGAAAAAGCCTTTCTTTTAGGCTCCTTTAAAAGGCTTTAACAACCAAGTGCAACAAATTTCAAATGAAATATTTTTTTTATAGAAATCGAAAACATTTATTTTGAGAAATTTCTTCTAGTACATTTTCCTAAGAGAAAGACTGATTTCATCCCCTTCTTTTCCTGTTCAATGACCGTCGGTTTTATTTAGTTTTCATTCTACTAGAAAGGAGTTTATCCTCGAAGTAAATACAAATATTAATTATTTTTTAAATTAATTAATTTTATGTGTTATCTTGAAAAAGCCTTTCTTTTAGGCTCCTTTAAAAGGCTTTAACAACCAAGTGCAACAAATTTCAAATGAAATATTTTTTTTATAGAAATCGAAAACATTTATTTTGAGAAATTTCTTCTAGTACATTTTCCTAAGAGAAAGACTGATTTCATCCCCTTCTTTTCCTGTTCAATGACCGTCGGTTTTATTTAGTTTTCATTCTACTAGAAAGGAGTTTATCCTCGAAGTAAATACAAATATTAATTATTTTTTAAATTAATTAATTTTATGTGTTATCTTGAAAAAGCCTTTCTTTTAGGCTCCTTTAAAAGGCTTTAACAACCAAGTGCAACAAATTTCAAATGAAATATTTTTTTTATAGAAATCGAAAACATTTATTTTGAGAAATTTCTTCTAGTACATTTTCCTAAGAGAAAGACTGATTTCATCCCCTTCTTTTCCTGTTCAATGACCGTCGGTTTTATTTAGTTTTCATTCTACTAGAAAGGAGTTTATCCTCGAAGTAAATACAAATATTAATTATTTTTTAAATTAATTAATTTTATGTGTTATCTTGAAAAAGCCTTTCTTTTAGGCTCCTTTAAAAGGCTTTAACAACCAAGTGCAACAAATTTCAAATGAAATATTTTTTTTATAGAAATCGAAAACATTTATTTTGAGAAATTTCTTCTAGTACATTTTCCTAAGAGAAAGACTGATTTCATCCCCTTCTTTTCCTGTTCAATGACCGTCGGTTTTATTTAGTTTTCATTCTACTAGAAAGGAGTTTATCCTCGAAGTAAATACAAATATTAATTATTTTTTAAATTAATTAATTTTATGTGTTATCTTGAAAAAGCCTTTCTTTTAGGCTCCTTTAAAAGGCTTTAACAACCAAGTGCAACAAATTTCAAATGAAATATTTTTTTTATAGAAATCGAAAACATTTATTTTGAGAAATTTCTTCTAGTACATTTTCCTAAGAGAAAGACTGATTTCATCCCCTTCTTTTCCTGTTCAATGACCGTCGGTTTTATTTAGTTTTCATTCTACTAGAAAGGAGTTTATCCTCGAAGTAAATACAAATATTAATTATTTTTTAAATTAATTAATTTTATGTGTTATCTTGAAAAAGCCTTTCTTTTAGGCTCCTTTAAAAGGCTTTAACAACCAAGTGCAACAAATTTCAAATGAAATATTTTTTTTATAGAAATCGAAAACATTTATTTTGAGAAATTTCTTCTAGTACATTTTCCTAAGAGAAAGACTGATTTCATCCCCTTCTTTTCCTGTTCAATGACCGTCGGTTTTATTTAGTTTTCATTCTACTAGAAAGGAGTTTATCCTCGAAGTAAATACAAATATTAATTATTTTTTAAATTAATTAATTTTATGTGTTATCTTGAAAAAGCCTTTCTTTTAGGCTCCTTTAAAAGGCTTTAACAACCAAGTGCAACAAATTTCAAATGAAATATTTTTTTTATAGAAATCGAAAACATTTATTTTGAGAAATTTCTTCTAGTACATTTTCCTAAGAGAAAGACTGATTTCATCCCCTTCTTTTCCTGTTCAATGACCGTCGGTTTTATTTAGTTTTCATTCTACTAGAAAGGAGTTTATCCTCGAAGTAAATACAAATATTAATTATTTTTTAAATTAATTAATTTTATGTGTTATCTTGAAAAAGCCTTTCTTTTAGGCTCCTTTAAAAGGCTTTAACAACCAAGTGCAACAAATTTCAAATGAAATATTTTTTTTATAGAAATCGAAAACATTTATTTTGAGAAATTTCTTCTAGTACATTTTCCTAAGAGAAAGACTGATTTCATCCCCTTCTTTTCCTGTTCAATGACCGTCGGTTTTATTTAGTTTTCATTCTACTAGAAAGGAGTTTATCCTCGAAGTAAATACAAATATTAATTATTTTTTAAATTAATTAATTTTATGTGTTATCTTGAAAAAGCCTTTCTTTTAGGCTCCTTTAAAAGGCTTTAACAACCAAGTGCAACAAATTTCAAATGAAATATTTTTTTTATAGAAATCGAAAACATTTATTTTGAGAAATTTCTTCTAGTACATTTTCCTAAGAGAAAGACTGATTTCATCCCCTTCTTTTCCTGTTCAATGACCGTCGGTTTTATTTAGTTTTCATTCTACTAGAAAGGAGTTTATCCTCGAAGTAAATACAAATATTAATTATTTTTTAAATTAATTAATTTTATGTGTTATCTTGAAAAAGCCTTTCTTTTAGGCNTAGGTTCCTCTTTGTGCAATTATTTGATGTATCACGAATGCATTGCGGATGCAGATTCTATACAATAACTATTCTGTACAATTATTCTATAAACTTCAAGCAGTGTTGAAGAAGAGTGAAAGGGAATCCGCGAGATAGTGCTTTTGATAATTACTGATGAGTTTCAGAAGCTCCGATTATATTTGGAACCGACCTATAATTGATAATTTATTTAATCTTTAGGTTGCTTTTTATGCAATTATTTGATGTAAAAGGCAAATAGCGTTTTTTTTTAAAAAAGAAAATTTAAGATTTCTAATTACGATAGGTAGAAGAAATTATCGAAAGCACAAGCATTTATAAAATATTGCATTAGTACTTCCTATTTAGCTTTTCAAATCAAAATGAAATAACTAAATTCTTTAAAGAAGAAATTTGTTTCCCTAATATTCATTTTCAACGTAGCGAAATTCTTTTAAGTTTTCATTCCGAAGTAAACCAAAATCCAGCTTATTTTATTCATTTATGCATATGTTACTGCAAATGACCAAAATTGGTAGTTGTTGACTTCCACAATTGAATGTTGGCAATCACATAGTCGCTTTGATAGATGTCCGAAATACATACTAGGTCAAGTTAAGTGCCACTGCCCGGCATGCCCTACATCAGTATTATTTTAAGGTTCAGAGCCGCTGCCCAGCGTACATTTAATCGGTACTCCGAACACTGATGTTTCTCCCGATCTATTCTCAGCAGATATTAGATATCGAATAAATATAATAATATCAACAAATAAATTAATATCAAATCGGATATAACAAATATTTCAGACATTCACCAAAGCGACTATGTGATTGTAGACATTCAGCGGTGAAAATCGACATTTTCTTGATTTCGGTCATTAACGGTAACACGTATACATAAAAAAAAATAAAAAAAATCATATCTAGACTAGATATAGCAAAAGGACGGCAAATTTGACGGCATGAATGAATAGATGTATGAATGGGTCCGCCCTATAAACGGGAGTGGCAGAAATCGAATTCTTGGCCATAGATGGCGCCACTGGAAAACAAGAACAATTGGACCCCCTCTGCCTAAACAGGAATACGTCAACAACACGGGAAATTTAATTGCCGGACATAAACTTCATTTAAGGGTTTTAATGATGAAAAATATTGATTCCTCTAATTAAATATTTCGAAATTAGTCTTCTATAACATTTACAATTACAGTTATTTGCTCAACTTATAAAGTCGGGGTTCCGACGCAAGAATGTTTATTATTTAGGGTTCCGTTGTCGAAAAAAAGGGGGAACCACTGCTATAAACTAATAGATGGTTGACTGATTGTAACCAACTAAAAGTTTCCTAAAACCGGAAGAAATTCATAAAACTTCCGCTGCTTCCCTCCTTTTACACTTACGAGGCGATGCGTGAACATGTCTAATATTCTGGGATGCTTCATGATTACGATTTGTGTTTAAATTTACGCGTAAAATTTTACCATTCATAAGGAGTTTTCTGTAATTTATAAATTCTAACAGCGCTCGAACTTAAAACAAATTTAGCAAAATTTATATCTCACTACTCAAACAATATGATATGCATGATGTTGCACGGCTTGCATCAAGAACAAGTCTTAACAAACAAGTAAAAAGTGGCCAAAATCAGAACTGCCAAAAAAGCGAATTCTTTCTAAATCTAGCAACCATGTCACCTTTTTTAACAATACATCTGTAAATAACTAAAGCAAATTTTCACTTCAAACTCACCAGAATTATTTGATATCATTAATATCTTACGAAGTACAGCAGATTTGAGCTCAGAAATTGTATAATTTATTTTTTATTCAAAACAATCTCTTTGAAAATATCACCGAGCAGAATAAGCTGTAGTAAGCAGCTGTATACAATCTAACCGGAAGTAGAGCTGGTCAAGAGCTCGAGATTGTTGTTTTGTTTACATTTGTATTGAAAACACCATCCATTGGTTCTAAGCGGACATTTCAAGTGTTTTTAAAAGAGCTGAATGTAGCGTTAGCAAGGTTAACTTAGCCTTAAGATTACTGAAGGACAGAAATTATGTCCCTTTCTGCTGCAACTAGTCTAGAAAATATATTTATTTCTGATTTTACGTTATACGTTGCATTTGTTTTGCGAAATTTCTTGATAGCATAAATAAGAAACGTGTGATGAAGTGAGTGTTTGATATTTAAATACCACGTCTGAATCACTTCATAGAAAAATAAAATACTATTGCATTTACTCATTTATTGAAAGCAAACTTAGAATTAAAGTAATACAAAAAAAATTTTGATCGCTGAAAGGCGATTGCGGGTTACTCATTGGCAAAATGGTTGTCTAATTTTTCAAATATATCGTTCAAATGATGAAATTCTCTTTTTTTTTCACAGCTCAAGAAGTATTTATCGGATCTCTCTGAACTCATCAGCATAACGCATAACAAAATTAAAAGTGAAAAAGAGAATTCTGAAAAAATTATCAAATAGCACCGGTCGCCATAGCAACGCATGCAATGCGCACTGTTTACTAATACTCTTGAATACAGTTGAGAAGTGTGATGACGTCCAAACATGGTGAGCAAGCCATCAAACCTAAAATAACACCCATTTTGCAAATGTGTAATAAATAAACAAAAATTTATTTACCGAGTATTCGAGAGTTTTGTTTTATTACAACGAATTTTTTTATTTCTGTGTTGTTTTTCATCATAATTTTGTTTTTTAAAAAAGCATAAATAAATAATTGAAAATATTTATTTAGGATATAATCCTGAGGAATTAAGAGGAAAGAAAATTGGAGTGTTTATTGCTAATACCAACAAAGAAAATGACGAATACTTTAAGCAACATATTAAAAAGACAACTGGTTACACTGTTACGGGTTGCTATGGGACAATGCTTCCCAATCGGATATCTTATGCGTTTGATTTTAAAGGTAACTTATTGTTTATTTCTTTGCCCATTAGTTTATCCCCTTTTCACGATTTTAACTGAACAGGGTGTTTCGTAATCGCCACCCTTTATATAATCTTTCATCATCCTCGTAAAAAACGTGCAACAGGTCGCAAATTAATACGAAAGCGGAAAAAAAGCGTTATCAACTTTTCACGAAACAGTATCCATGTCGTTCTGAGCAAAGCTAATAAAAATTTTTTTTGCCGGTTGAAACTGAAAAATATCTCGAATGATTGCCTTTTGCCTCCTTTCAACAAATGAAACTTGTTTTGGCCATTTATAATTTAACCTCTGCTGTGATTGACTTTAACAGGATCACGGCCCATAAAATATTGAAAGTGGCCCATAAAATATTGAAAGTGAAGTGGAAAGAATAAAATATTGACCCTTTTACGTTTATGCTAGTAGGAATTTTTTTGCGCTACCGCTTCAAAATTTTTCTAATTTGAAATTGGATGATATCGAACAAAACATAATAAGTTGCTATGTAAATACGTAAAACTATTAATGTCCGACTTTTTTTCTAATGCTCATTCGTCTTACTAGGGAGCTAAGCCCCCTGGTCGCTGCCACTCACCAACCCCGATGATTGCTTCGCAATATATAAANAGTTCTACTTATATATATATATATATATACATAAAGAATTCTGTTTGCTTACGTTTTTGCCTCCACTTCTCACGTCCAGAAATTATTATCTATTAGTATTGTAGGAATAGTGTGGGGATAGTAGTTACGCCAGAATTTTATCAGGATGGAATTCGTTCAGGTCACCAATGTGGGGGGGGGAGGTTAGTTTTAGACCATGTGAACCGTCATCTATCAAATGGTATCTCAAGTTTGAATTGAGTTAGCATGTCTTATATTCTAGAGAAATAATGTTTAATAATCGTAGTGGTAGTTACGCCTCAATACTCCCCCACCAGTATTTTATCAGGGATAGAATTCGTCCGGGTTACCAATGTGGGGAGAATAATTATGGACCATGCCATCTATCAAATGGTACCTCAAGTCTGAATTGAGTTAGCACATCTTATATTCTAGAGAGGTGTTGTTAAATAATCGTAGTGGTAGTTACGCCACTATACTCGTATCCCACCAGAATTTTATAAGGGATGGAATTCGACTGGGTCACCAATGCTTGGAGGGTAGTTATAGACCATGTGAACCGTCATCTTTCAAAAGGTAACTCAAGATTGAATAGAATTAGCATGTTTTATATATACTAGAGAAATATTGTTAAAGAATCGTAGTGGTAGTTACGCCATAAGTATTATAAATATTTAGACTTAATTGGGTATAATATGAAAAAAACACAACTACTTCCACTTCAAAAATTTTACTAGGAATAACACTTACCTTTTAGTTTAATTAATAAACTGAGTTTTAAATATGTTTCCTAAATTCATAAACTTAGGTAAAACAACAAAATAAATTATTTCCAAAGGAACTAGGCTAATACAATTCCAACCAGGCGAGTAGCGACTTATAACAAGACACTTCGTTTGATGCTTACTTGTTGCTAGAAATCAGGTTCGCAGAAAATACTGTTTACTAGTTAAATTTAGTAGGAATAACACGATCTGTGACGTAGGCTATAGTATACCCAATTGTAAACAGAAGTAATTTTTCAAAGTAATAATAATTGTAAAACGGATAATAGGATTAGACACCTTTTTTAAATAACAACTTTATCTTAAAATAAAGCGCAGAATTACGTTATAATAGTAATAATAAAAATCAATTCTCTTAGTTTTAAACTCTTAAATCAAAACCGTAATAATAGCAGTACAGTAAAATACCTTTAAATTGGGTATAATATGAAAAAAGCACAACTACTTCCACTTACTAGGAATAACATTTTCCTTTTAGTTTAATTAATAAACTGAGTTTTAAATATGCTTACTAAATTCATAAACTTCGGTAAAACAACAATATAAATTATTTCCAAAGGAGCTAGACTAATACAATTCCAACCTGGCGAGTAGCGACTTATAACAAGACACTTCGTTTGATGCTTTTACTTGTTGCTAGAAATCAGGTTCGCAGAAAATGCTGTTTACTAGTTAAATTTAGTAGGAATAACACGATCTGTGACGTAGGCTATAGTATACCCAATTAGGGAGACAAAACTATTTATAGAAAAACAATACCTTTTGAGTTTTATTTATTTTATGCTGATAGCAACCAAAACAATATGAAAATGAATGAGGAAAAACTGGATCCTACCACGTGATTTTCCGGCTAATAAAAGTGCACAATTAACAATGGGAAACTGCAACACCATCATTAGATTTTGTATATAAAAATATTACTTTTGTTTAGGTTTAGTGGTATTATTTTAGAATTTAAAAAAAACATACAATAAGGAGTGCAATTATGAAATACCAAGTAATATATTTCAAAAAAGCATCTATGATTTTCTGTTTATTAAAAAAAATTAATAATATTGATAGGTCCGAGCATTTTAATGGACACAGCATGTTCGTCCGGTGCTGTTGCCTTGTGTGAAGCTGTTCGATCCATTCAAAGTAATGATTGTGAAGCTGCCGTTGTTGGAGCATCTCACTTATGTTTAAATCCAGCCATGTCCATGCAGTTCTATAAATTAAGCATGATTTCTGATGACGGAAAGTGCAAATCCTTCGATGCTGCAGGTTAGTCATCAATTCCTGCTTCAATTTCAATACTTGAAATTGAGCGAGGAATTTTTTTCTTTTAAAAATAGAGTTTCATTTAAAAAGATTCTTTAATTTGATTTTCTCAATTCTTGTTTCAATTTCAACACTTGAAAATGAACGAGAAATTAAAAAAAAAATTAGAATTTGATTTAAAAAGATTCATCAATTATGAACGATAACGCCCGTCAACACAGGGTGAATGAGTTGGTGAACGAATAACTCAAATAGGAGGCTATTCATCGATTGGAGTGGCCTGTGATGTCCCCTGACCTTAATATCATCAAACTCGTATGGGACATCCATGGACGTTTAATTGCAGCATGACGACAACAACTGTCATTAATGATCTCAGGAGTGCCTTGTTGCAAGAGTAGGGGAGATTGCCATTGGGATGATACAGACCCTGGTAAACAGTATGAAACGTCAATGCGAGAGTTTTGTAGCTAGCTATCATACACCCTATTATGCCTGACTTATAGGACGTCGTTGAGTTACCGTACTGGACAAGTGACCAGTTTCCTTATTTAGGATGTAGATTTTGAACATTTTTATTTTCCCAAATACTGTTCTTTTATATGATGATATTTTGGATTTATTTGCATTGTTAGTTTTTTTTATTGCAATCATTTGTCTCTTCAATTGTTTTCACCAGTATTATTAATAATTACCTCGAGTAAATCAGATAATTTTTGCACATTAACCAGTCATTATTAATAATTGCCGCATGATTAATTAAACATATTATTTACTGAAGTCTAAATTAATTTTTTCCATAAATAATTCTTCTATAAATTTTCTATAATTTTTTCCTCTGTGATAATAAATCTGTCATTGAAGAGATCAGTAGAGTTAAAAGAGGATTGCTAGAAATATAGATTTTTTACTTTTGAATTAACAGCTTTAAAAGTTTAATTTGTTTACATAATTAGTTCATCTGTCCACGACTTAATAAATTGTGAACAAAATTCGTAGATGGATTTCAATGCTTTTACTTCAAAACGCATTCTGTATATGTTACATTAATGTATATGACTATAATTAATATCAACCGGCGATTATAATTAGTAACAACAACAAATGCGTTGAAAATTAGACCAAACTTAATTGGTAATTGGGTACTTGCACTTCAAGAAGAAGAGCTTAAATACCCACATATGTGACCATTAACTTCAGCGCCAGCTGATCGCTTGTAATAAAAATGGCGTGCTAAAGTTGAGCTAAGTTTCTCCATATAATTTAGAAAGTTAGTTAACGTGAAGCTAATTAAATGCAGTGCCGTATCATGCATCGAATTTATTGAAATATAATTCTTTCTCTTTTACGCCTTTTGCTTAATTTATATTTATTTCTTGTTTATGTGTTTTACTGTAGCTGTGATGTATTTTTGTTTTGTGTACCTGTCAACTTCGACGCATAATTAGTTTTGTGGTAAATCATGTTTTTCCAAGCATTAAAAGGAACAGATTACCAACTAAAACTTAAGGAATAAATTTAATTTGAACATTATTAAAATCACAAATAAATACAGCTAAAACTGAATGACATTAAAGTTATCGGAGAGCCGTGCATCACGTACTAGTGCACGAGGAAAAATGGGAGTAGCCTGGTTGCTGGCGGAAAACTGGTTTTTAAATGCGTCACTCCAAGTTGAAGTGCAAGTGCCCTTTCGCATTAGGTAAGATGAAAATGTAGGAGCAGGGCATCGCCGCAGTACTCCCCCCCAAGAGTCCAGGAGACCGACATCAATAGCAACGAGTGTTGAAATGCACCCGGCGGCCGGAACGAGTCGTGATCCCCGGTCGAGCCAACTCTGGAGCCGGATGCTGGGCAGCTCTAGGTTCGTTCTGCTCCGGGGTTGGAGCAGTAGTCTGCAACTCCTCATCATCCAGGAATGCAGGTTTTAGGCGGTCGATGCCAATTACGGCTTGCCGACCCTTCATTTCAATGGTGAAGGTTTTTCCGCTACGCTTCAAAACCTTGAATGGACCGTCGTAAGGATGTTGCAATGCTTTCTTTACACCATCGACTCGTATGAAAACATGAGAGCATTTTGGTAAAGATGGGTGTACAAAGATGGACTGTTTAGAGTGTGAAGACGTTGGTTTTGGCTTCAAAGTCTGCATTGTCTCACGCATCCTCATCAGAAATTCATGAGGCTGCACGTCAGTAGTGGAGGCCTCGAAGAATTCTCCAGGAAGGCGGAGAGGGGCACCGTAGACCAGTTCTGCACTCGTGCAGTTTAAGTCTGCTTTTAAAGCAGATCTCAACCCAAGAAGAACTAGGGGTAGAGAGTCGGTCCATTTGGTTTTATGACATCGGAGGGCCTGCTTGAGTGGACGATGGAAGTTCTCGATGAGGCCGTTGCAGGATGGGTGATATGGAGTTGTTCGTGTCATATTGGTCCCCAAAAGTTTGTTCAATGTGGAGAACAGGTGGCTCTGAAATTGTCTTCCCTGGTCGGTGGTGATGATCTTTGGGACACCAAACCTTGAAACCCAGAAGGAGACAAAAGCTCGTGCAGTGGTCTCCGCTGACATATCAGGAACAGGGATGGCCTCTGGCCATCTTGTGAAGCGGTCAATGCACGTCAACAAGTATTCGTAGCCATCGGACGGTGGGAAAGGGCCAACCAGGTCCAAGTGCACATGTTCAAACCGTTGTGAAGGTAGGTTGAAGGATTGTAGAGGACTGTGGGTGTGCTTTGTTATTTTGGACTGCTGGCACAATAAACAATTTCGAGTCCATTCCGCAATGTCCTTGGCCATAGAAGGCCACACAAATCTAGTTTGAAGAAGTTTTTTGGAGGCTCGTATGCCTGGATGAGCTAAATTGTGTAGAGATTGAAACACAGTCTTTCGAAGCTGTTGTGGCACATATGGGCGTATTAACTTGTGGTTCACATCGCAATATAGTTTCACTGTTGGCGAAATAGACCATGATTGTAGCTGGAGCGAATGGTGCTCTTTTTGAAGCAAATCAGATAATTCTTTATCTGCTTTTTGGGCTTCAGATATGACAGTAAAGTCCACTGATGGAGTCTGTACTGATTGCAGGCGAGATAGAGCATCAGCGACTACATTATCGGAGCCAGAAATATG